AACATAAATTATTTAAGCCATATTATGTGTCTAAATGGAGTTAGCAGAGCAAAGTTGGTGGGATGATGTATTTTATGGTTTAAGTTATTAATCCAAAAGCATATTCAGTGCTCAAGTCATCAATTGGATGCTATTACTTATATTTCTCCCAAGAAGCGCGCACACACACACACACACACACACACACACCACACTACACACATTGAATCATCCGGAATCAGAAGTCTCAAAATATCTTTCTTCTGATATGTCGTAGGGCTGATTCTTTTTCCGCAAAATGACACCGCGATAATCTACTATTTCTTTTTTCCTGTCTTTCTCTGATTCATGTGAGCTAGAAATGTGCTGCTCTTGCCACCATCATGCAGTTTCCCTGTGGTCTCAGCCCTCATTGGATTGCCATTGTAGCTGCTTAGTCAACTCCCTTCTCATTTCTTTTATGCTAACATCATTCTCATTTAATCAGGTGGATATCCCTTCTGTTCTCTACAAAATTGTTCTTTCAACAACTTTCTTGCTTTTGAATACAATAATTAATGTATCTGCTTCCCACATCTTTGCCAATTTATAGCTCTAATTTCTTCTCAAATTCAGGTGCCAATTTACCATTTCCAATCATTCCTCCATTCTTAACGCTTTACTGATTGACTTTGTTCCTCCAGCCAACAAGTTGTCAACACATTTGAGTTCAATGAGAAATATTTGTATTTATATTTATTACTATTTAGAGCTGTACTAGCATTCTTCAGTTATTTCAACTGTGTACTTCTGATCCAATTATACAGTAACTTATTTGAGAGAAAAGACCAGTTTTTCTATTATTTTCTGGTTCTTATAGTATTTATCACAAGTATCATACATAAGATATTCTGAATAAATGTCTACTGAATGAATGATGAGTTAAAATATCCAATGATGTATTTGTAAATATTCCATTTTTTTTTCAAAGCAGCATTTGAGATGGCACTTGTACTAAGTGGAATCCTACGTGGGTATTTGGAAATATGTGTCTCTCTATACATATGTTGGTATATTTATTTTAACAGTGTATTATAATTCATTTTAGCAATATCCAGCCACTTTTGCATCAGAAATAATTAAGTCAAGAGGATAAAAGATAATTGATCAATGTCACCATAAGATTAAGACTAAAGACAATTGTGCAACTATTTATAGCTTAAGTTGTATGGCCTGTTTTTTGTTTGTTTGTTTGTTTTTACTTTAAGTTCTGGGATACATGTGCAGAACATGCAGTTTTGTTACATAGGTATACATGTGCCGTGGTGGTTTGCTGCACCCATCAACCCGTCATCTAGGTTTTAAGTCCCTGCCTGGATTAGGTATTTGTCCTAATGCTCTTCCTCCCCTTGACAGGCCCCGGTATGTAATGTTCCCCTCCCTGTGTCCATATGTTCTCATTGTTCAACTCCCACTTATGAGTGAGAACATGCGGTGTTTGGTTTTCTGTTCCTGTGTTAGTTTGCTGAGAATGATGGTTTCAACTTCTTCCATGGCCCTGCAAAGGACATGAACTCATTCTTTGTTATGGCTGCATAGTATTCCAGGGTATATGTGTGATGTGGCCTGTTTTAAAAGCTCTTTTTTTTCTTCCCTTTAATCTTTCAAAGTTTGTTTTACTAACAGATTTGTTTCATTTAATGAACATTAATTAAGAAATTACTTAAGCTCTCTGACTCTGGTTTCCTCAACTGTAAGATGTGTTAGGTAATGAGGATAATACGTGAGTAGAACAGAGCACTGCCTTCAAGATCTTTATCTACTAAGGAAATCAAGATGAGGTGGGAATATGCATACTTTTTGATCTATAAATTCAATTTCATGGTATTTATTTTAAGTAAATAATCCCTAATGCATGCAAATATTTTCATTTCATGGTTTCAAACATACTCACTTAAACTTCTTTTGAATGTTAGAATAGCAGTCTTGACCATTTGGAGTAATAATTAAATGTTAACTGAGCAATAAATTGTAGAAGGAAAGATATTTCTTAGATTTAATGTCTTTTCTTGTATTCATTCTAAAAGACATTAAGCATTTTGATCCAACCCAATGGCTTCAATTTCTAGGCTCATACCAAAGTAATGCATACAATTTGCTCCAAACTGCACAAAAGCTCATTTCATACTCACCAAAGCTGTTAGCCTATGCTTAAGTTTGGAAGTTCGCCCTCTCATCATTTCTTTCTCTCATTCACTTCTTATAATGAATATTATTTTTATTAAAATAAAAATATTACATTTAGAATAACAGGCCTGATGTTAGTAATTAAATTAAAAAATAAAATTTCCTCTTTATCAGTCGTGATCAAACATGATACAAAACACAATACCATTCCTCATGGTCAGCTACCAATATATACTATTGTAGCTGACTCATATTAATGCCATATGAACACTTAAAACTTTATTTCAGACAAAATTATCTGTTCACAAAATAGCAGAAACATGACATGTATGTTTCATGTCTACCACCTAAGCAATTTGCTTGCTGCCACATTTCACCTTATCTTGTTAGAGTTTAACTCAGTATTATTACTGCACTAGTATAAGGCCTTATGCTTACAGTAATTCAACACAGTGAATACTACATATATTTATTAGATAGCTTATATTTTCAAAATTGAAAACTAGAGGCTCTTAGGTACGCTACCTAAGTGTGCGAAAAAGGTATGCTACCTAGTGTGCAAAAACAATCATTTACACATTATGTGGATCGGATGAGAAAATACAAAGAAACTTTCAGGTTTAGGGTAGGGATAGTTATTCTCAGCCAAGGCTAAGCTGAGTCTATAGTATACTCTTTTTTAGCCTAAGATAGGTACTCTGCCTAATCCAGGAAGAGTATTCTGAAATTCCACTCAACTTTAATTAACTGTGTCTTGTTTTAACATCATCATAATTGAAAGAATATGTTTAGCTATTTGAGGCAAAAAGAAAAGAAAATGAAAAATGAAACAAAAGAATTGATTAAATATTTAACATTTGAAAAGCCAAAAAAAGAGCAAATTATATAAATAAGCAATTAAATCAAGAGGAATTTCAAATTTTAAAAAAATAGAAAATATATTAAAATATATTTTGAAATACTCAAGTTCATTGGCAATCAGAAAATGCAATTCAAAACAAAAACATAAAATGTGAATCTACAAATGTAAAACATTCAGTGCTAATAAGAGCGTGGAAAATCAGGGCCTTTCAATGACTAGAAGGAGCACAAACTAGTAAAACCTTCTGGAGGGTAATTTAGCAATATTCAATAATGGATTTAGAAATATAAAAACTTTCTGATCTGTAAGCTTTATTTATAATCATGTATAATGAGGAAATAATCATAGATTTGTAAACATATTTACTTAGCTTCAAATATATTTACCATGAGGCTATCTGTCGTAATGAAAAATGCCCAAAGATGGTTAAATGGTTTAATCAACAATGTAAATTTGTACAATGCCACATGGGCATTAGTTATGTTGTAGGAGATTACATGTTTACGTGATAGACTTCAAGATATATTGTTAAACGAAAAATACATATTTTAGAGCTCTGACATTAAACATCTTGAAAGCTGACACTCTTATCCTTAAAACAAGAAAAAGCTGAGCTGGTATCAATCAGAGAACTATGGTCACAGGTCATATTGGCAACTTGAAACCTGGAGACTGGGTAACGCTTAGTGAAATACAGCAGTTGAGAACTGGAGTAGAAGTTAATGGAGCTATAAACTGGCAGGAACACTGAAATGGTAATGTTAATTAATTGGGGGAGGCAAAGTGTGAATTAGCTTGAGAATGGAAACCTCTTAGGGCTACCATTTTAGGAGACCTCACCACACTTCTGTGGAATTTCCCTCTAGGAATTCTACCAGGTTCTCACAGTTAGGATATGAGAAAAATCCCTTGGTTTTGGGAAAATAACCATTTTTAAATAGGCCTAGACCTCTGTACAATGAATGCCTACTCTCCAAAGACTTTGCCAGAACTCAATTTTGAAACTTCACCTCAGTAGGCACAGAAAGTTTCTCCCAACTGGATCATCCTCAAGCCTTCCTGTGTCACCTAAGCCTAAGTAGGGGTGGGGCGGGGAGTGGGAAATATAGTCATCAGGAGCCAAACTTGAAGGAAACAGATTGAGAATATTGTAGCCAGGGAAGGGTTAAGGGAAGTGGGGAACAGTCAAAAGCTGCATAACTGGACTTGGAAAATTACAGTCCCGACACATCAACCCACTGAAAGACTACAATTTAACCAGAAGATTATAGAACAGCACTCCTCTCCCCTGCCTTACCACCACACCAACAGGGCTTCAATATAATAACTGTGTTACAGCTGAAGGAGTTGCAAGACATAGACTCTTCCTGAGTAGTACTCGGGGGAGCCCAAAATCAAGAGGAAAGACAAAAACAAGGACTACAGAGGAATTTGAAGCCGGTGATACCTATAAATACATCAAACATTAAACACAGCCCAGCTCCTAGCCAGATTAACAGAAATCCTCACACTACATGCCTGTTACCCCATTTCCTATTGCCCTAAGCAATGTGGTCAGCTTTCAACACAAATTACAAGACATAACAAAAGGTAAGATAAAATACTCTAAAGACAAAACACAGTTATAGAAACTAGAGTACATAAAACAGATGTTGAAATAACCAGAGAATTTAAAATAATTGATATGCTAATTGATAATTGATATGCTTTTTCTGATGGAAAAAGTAGATAATATGAAGAAAAAGATGAATAATGTAGGTACAGAGATGAAGACTCTCAGAATTAAAAGGAAATGCAGAAATCAAAACACAGTAACAGGAATGAATAATGCTCTCAATCGGCTCATCAGTAGACAGGACACGTTACTGAGAATTTTAGCTTTGAAATGTATTTTAAAATGCATTTTTCTCCTTTCTCTTTAGTCTTAAGATGCAGCTTTGAAAAAAATTGTTTTGTTTTGTTTCAAACAAAAACCTTGTTTTCCCTTATCCTTACAATATAGCCTTAAAACATATTTTGAAACTCTCTCCCTTTCCCACCAAACACCTCTCTGCACCATGCACACTCATCTAACTGCATGCTTGTTAAGAAATTCCAGGGGTTAATTTTAAACACACCTGGTGTAGAAACCCTGCTATAAGTTCTCCTTTACCTAGAATTTACCTCAGTATGGATAATCTACAGCCTGGCTGCAATTGACATAGCACCAGACAGCACTCCAGGTGGACAAACTCAAAATGGTGATCAGGGCAAGACATACAGACCTGCACCCTGCCTCACTCCTAGGTATTTCCTATACCACGCTTCCCCTTTTTAAATCTCTGCCTTCAGCTCAAAACTGGAGATGGTTTATTTGAGGATTGAGCCTGGCCATCTCTCACCTGCTAGAATTTGATTAATAAAGCGGATTTCTTTTCACCACATCTCATGCGTTGTGTTTTGGCTTCCAAGCAGCAAGCAGCGTGACTTGCATTTGGTTACACTATGGCCTCTTGCACTGGGTTTGAGTTTCTGTGAAAAAGAAATAAGGGGTGAGAAGATGTTGCAATTGTTCATTTTATAAAAATATACATGTGCACAGGTATTTTAGGGGCTCATATTACTAAATGCAGCATGAGCTGGAGACGAGGCTTCCAGTCATGGAGTATAATCCAGGCATGGCTAAGAATTAGAAACATAACAAATACTTGGACACTACATACCTTAATATAAGTTGAAAAGCTATTTCAAATGACTCAATTTGCCACAAGTGGGAATATGTGGCACGTGGAACAGTAGGGGAATAGCAGGTTTGCTGTGGAGCTTCACCAGTAAGAGCATCAGCTCTGGAGTCAGCCTGTCAGGATTCTGAACTTGGCTTTGCCACGTAATGGCTATAAAATCTTGAGCTGCACTGTGCTTCAGGTTCCTTGCCTGTCAAATGAGGGTGGTATATGGTTGTTAAAAGGATATTCATGAAAATAACCCATAACAAACATACATCATAATGCTTCACACATAAGTAATCAATAAATAATCATTCCTCATTTCCATCATTTACTGGGTACTTATGTATGAAGTATTATGATCATTTACTGAGTACTTACGTGTGAAGCATTATGATATATGTGTGTTATGGGTTATTTTCATTTACAGAGACCCTAGCTGACAAAAGAGCTAGCCTTGCGTACATAAGTGCTAGCCCTTTTCGGGCATCATAAAGTAGTTGAAGGATACTTAAAAAATGAGACTGAACTCCTGCTTTCTTGTAATCAAGGACTGACAAGCCAGTAGATATCTGAGTTACCTTTAAAAAAAGTCGGCAGGGGAAATTCAGTAAACACAAATAACTCAAGGTTGAACAATTCAAGAAACTGGCCCAAATTTTTAGTACCAAAGTATTATGAAATTCTAACGCTTTCACCACTTCTTTCCCATAACGTTTATTCTTCAAAATACAATGGAGGAAGAATGAGGATTTGCTCTGAATCTGGGTGATGTAAGAAGACAGAGCACCTGGATAAAAGTCAGGAAATGTGAATGCCAGTCTCCATTCCAAGGTCCTCCTGGGGGTAAGTCATTTTACATCTCTGAGCTTCAGTTACTTTAGCTGCAATATAAAAATATTCTGATACTTATTATTCTATAATGGAAAATGTTTTGCTATGAGCATCTCTGGTCTGGCTATCGGGAGTTTATCTGTATCCTAGCTTTATACTTTCAGGCTATGTGATCTTCAGGTCGCTTCACATTTTGGTCTTTTCATTCCACAGACCCACTTCTCTTCTCTGATGTTTCACCATCATAGTGCTGAGGAATGTCAGAAATTTAATGTCTTAAATTATTATTTAACCTGCTACATTAAGACAAATTAAAATGTGATACAAATAGAGGAAATCAAATATCGTTTTGCAGATAATCTTTGATTTGACTGAATTTCCCATATAGGATAAACCTCCTTTAATGCATTTAGTTCCATTCCTACATTAAAGATGAAAAAGATTTTGAGTTAAATATGACCTTTGAAATTGTGCCAACTCTGGCTATTTTGTATTTTTACTAGAAAACCAACCTAAGAAGATATGGTTAGGAAGTTGAGATAATTGTATTCTTTTTCATCTCACCTCTGCCTAATATGATCAAATTTATCTTCTCAAGACCCATTTATTTCATGTAATCTAAATTAGTTCTTCCAAAGTACTAAGATACTAATTTGAAACAGATGAACAGGATTTTGATTGAAGGCTTAGAAAAATTTACATATCATACATTCTTTATTCCTGTAGCTCAGTCTTCCTCATTTTATGTATCAATATCATAATATAGAGTTAGAAAGAGAAATAGTCTCACAAAATCTAGCACAGATATCAAAACAAAACACTTTTTAAAAGTCGATTTTCAATAAATAATCATATACCATCTTAATAGTTAGAGACTTCTTGAACTAGTCAGACTACTGTCAAAACCTTTAAATTAGCACAGGATTCTCACCGGCTTTTCCTGTGTTCACTAAAGTCAAGACTTTTACATATCTGATGATCAAATGATCAGGACTATCCTCTGATAAACAGAAAATGTTGTAGAAGTTTTTACAAAACATAGTGTATTTTATCTGAGACCTGTTGCTAAGATCACAAAGTTACTTTACCCCAGTGGTGGGGATTTTCCTCTGGGTGTAAAAATTAACTACATTTTTAAAGTGATGAAACTTCTGAGCTCATGATGACTTATCTCTTTCAAAAGTATATCCTCCAAATTCTGAGGTTTATGTGGCCTCACTTCCTCAGTCTTTTAATCATCTTTCTGTCCCACAATTCTCTGTCCACATTTCTGACTGTGCAGGAATTGGAGGCCCAAACCAAGCAGTGTGACATGCTTGAGTGACAATGTAATGGAGTGATCCCAGGGACTCAGAAGTCATGGCAGAAGTATTTATTGCTTAGCAACCCAGACAAATGTCAAGAGTTTTACCAAATGCAGATGGTGAGTAGGACTGTTGAAAATCAACATTACTTTGCTATAATTCTTTTAAATTGGTTTCAACAAAAATATTAATTAATTTACCCATTTATTTGTTTGATTGATTGACGTAACAGCTTTCCGGCCAAGCACTAAGTGGCAATTACAGTCAGCTGGTCACACTAAAGGGACATAGAAATACAGAACTCAGGAGAAATATAAAACTTCTACTGGAGAATAATTATCTGCTATTCTGAATTGACATTCAGAGGCATTTCTCGCATCATTTTTTCTCAGAGAGGAAAGTGACACATGATGGCATAGTTTTGAAAGTAAAATAAAAATAATGATATATTACTAAAAGACTAGATTAATGAACTACATATATCTAGCCCAGACACCATATTTAAAATTTTGGCTGTGGGGTCTTTATTTGAACGAAATATGAGTAACTGATCATGTTCTCATTAGCACTAGGTAGAGTTTCACGAGGACTTGAATTAATTTCAAATATGTTGTAACGAGTCAAATATAAACTAGAAAGCATTTTTTTAAATTAGAGGAAAGTATTCAGCTTAGGTCATAATAAAAATCACTCCTGCTGCCATAATGAGTTACTACCATGATGGCATATTTATCAGTTTCCACACAGTAAGAACCTACCATAAAAACTAAAGAGAAGAGTTTATTGTTGGTGTTTTTAATATAATTCCTGAAAATGAAATAGTATGAAGGTGATACCCCTTTTCTAATCATAAACGCGGGCATGTTGTTCCTTGCTAGCAGGATACCAACGTTCGAAAAATATTAGAAAACTTTTTGGGTAGTCATTCATATGGTCCAGACTAGCAATAAAGGGAGACATTTTATCCCATAAACTAGTTGGATCCTAACCAGCCAGACCATTCAATTTACAAACATGATTTTAAAATAAAAATTACACACAGCGTCTTTAGAGAAAGAAACAAATGAAAATAAAATAAGACTAGGCTTTTAGAATTTTTTTCTTCTTTATTATTCCCGTTGTTTTGTCTAATTTAATCAAATTTTAATTTCTTCTTGAGTCAGTTGCAGTACTTTGGATGTCTATCTAGGAATGTATTCATTTCATCTAGTTTATCTAATTGGCTGATATACAATTGTTCCAGTATTCCTTATTCTTTCTTACTTCGATAAGGTCATTAGTAACATTTCTTCTTTCGCCCTTTCGTTCCTGATTTCACTTTTTTTTCTCCCTCTCCCTCTCTCCCTCCCTCTGTCTCTTTTTCTTGGTCATTCTACCTAAAGATTTGTCCATTTTATTGATCTCTTTAAATAACTGGATTTTGATTTTGTTGGCTTTCTATATTGTTCTTCTATTATTTATTTCATGTATTCCTAATGTAGTCTTCAATTTTTTAATATTCGCTTTGTTTCAGGGTTTTCTCTTATTTTTAGTGTTTGAAGGTGGAAGTTTAAGTTGTTGAATTGACATCTTTATTTATTTTCATTGGACCACTCATAGCTACAAATTTCCTGTAGCACTATTTTGTCTGCTTTCCATAAGCCTTAGGATGTTGTGTTTTCATTTATAGCAAAGCGTTTTATAATTTCCCTGTGATTTCTTCTTTGCTCTACTGATTATTTAGGAGTGTGTCATTTAATTTCCGCATACATGTGAATTTCTCATATTTGTTTCATCATTGAGTTCTAATTTTATTCCACTGTGGTCAGAGAACATACTTTGTATTATTTTAATCCTTTGACATTTACTTAGACTTTTCTTACAGACTAAATATGGTCTATCGTGGACAGTATTTTATGGACTTGAGGAGAATGTGTATTCTTCTGTTGGACAGAACCTTCTAGTAGACAACTGTTAGATGTAGTTAGTTTACTGTGCCATTCAAGTCTCTTATTTCTGTCTAGTTACTTTATCTAATATCGAAAGTGAGGTATTGAAGTCTCCAACTATTATTGTTGAATTTTTCATTTCCCCTTTAACTCTGTCAGTTTTGTTACCTATATTTTGGACTTTGATACTAGGTGCAAGACATAATTATTATATCTTCTCAATGCCATCACAGGCAGTCAAAATATGTAGCAGTTTTCTCTGATTGTTTTTGACAGATGCTCTGGGGAAGAGGCTGCTCCTACTAGGTAAGCTCAAGTCAGGTCAAGTAAAAACAACCTTGCCAGCAAGATCCATCAGTGAGATAACATAATGATCATTGGGAATGGGTATTTGGAGGAACTGTAACTCCATTGTACCCTGCCAACAACTTTCAAGTTGCTGTTTCCACTGTGATTGTGGGTTGTTTTCTTTTAAGACTCCCATAGAATTGGGCAATAGGGTATGGAAATAAGAAAAGTTGAACTGCTATAAAGCTTACTCTTCTTTCTTAGGTTCAGCTGTTTTTACCGATTTTGGCAAGGCTTTGGTTAATTTCCAGAGTTCTAAAAATATTCTGAGAATTTTTTGCCACTCTCATCACTTTTATGTGGGAAAGAATATTTGGAGGTCCTTTCCATTATTACTGACATCATCTTTTTATTGAGTTTAGTATATTTTGCAATGTTTTAATGCATGGCTTCAAATTATACAAACTTTAGCCCACTTTATTGCTGGATCTATTCTGATCCATAGCTGAACACTAAGAACAATAATAACTTTTCACAATAGCTAATATTATTGAGTTATTCGTATGTAACATGCATAATGGTAAATTGTTTATACGCAATGGTTCTTTTAAAACAACAGTCTAATAGGTTAAAGTATTCCTCAGTCTCTCTTTTTACAAATATAGAAACAAATACCTAGGTAGCTTCTCCATCACCACAGAGTTAATGGTAGCCAGGAACTAAACCCAAGAAAGCCTTTACTCTCATGTGCATATTCTTATGCATGCACTCTAAAAACTAAAATTTGAAGCTGCATAATAATGTCGATAAAGATTTGGCTTCTCTATATAGGATGCTTCATCAAAGAGTAACATAAAGGAGGAGAAAATATTTACTTTTAATTTAGAAGTTGGTTTGGACAGCCACTCTCAGAAATATCTATTTTGAAAGATTTCTAGGAATACCTTTAAGAAAACAATGTCTCGGCAGGACAATTAGAACAATGGATTAGGGCATCCCTGGTTACTAAGACAGTGTGTAACACCACTTTGTCTATGAATGCAACAGTATTTGGAAGTAGCTAAAAAAGGAGGAAAATATAACCCCTCATTTTGTAGGCTGCTAATTGTTTGCTCTCAGATTTTTATTTTGATTCTTTACTTCTGTTAAATGTTTTGGCTTTAAAATTAGGGTGAGCCCATTTACACCATGGAATACTATGCAGCCATCAAAAAAGATGAGCTCATCCTTTGTAGGGACATAGATGAAGCTGGAAACCATCATTCTCAGCAAACTAACACAGGAACAGAAAACCAAACACCACATGTTCTCACTCATAAGTGGGAGTTGGACAATGAGAGCACACGGACACAGGGAGGGAAATATCACACACTGGGGCCTATCATGGGGTGGATAGCATTAGGAGAAATACCTAATGTAGACGACAAGTTGATGGGTGCAGGAACCCACCATGGCACGTGTATACCTATGTAACAAACCTGCACGTTCTGCACATGTATCCCAGAACTTAAAGTGTAGCAGTAATAAAAAAAATTAGAGTGAGCCTTATTTCTTATTTCCCACTTTCCTATTATTTTATATACTTGAAACCTCCTATTCCCCTTCTGTTGCCATTTTGAACATTCATTTAAATTATGAAGTATTTATAAATTATGAAATATTGATATACTTTTGGTCTCAATTAAAGATGTCAGAAGACTTTCATCATTAATTCTACAAAAGTCTGATGTGAATTTTATCTCAACTTAGCCCTTAGCGTCTGGGTTAAATAAACATTAACTGATATTATTTCAATTTGACTTCATAAGTAATTTTAATCATTTCATGTAAGTATCTTCAGAATTCTATTTTGATTTTTTGATGACTTTGCATATGATTCCTTTGAGTAGAAAACCCTCTTAACTATTGCTTATCCAAATTACCCAACCTTTAAATTTCAGTATAAAAGTTGATTCCTCTGTGATACATTCCTGACTTTCCACCTTCTGTACATCACTGGACTTTGTTTGCCCCTTTGTAACTGCATTTATCACACAGGTTTATAATTGTTTATTTCCTTGTCGTATGTCAAACTAGACAAAAATTTCTTTGAGAGAAAGGGCTGAGCTCCACTCAACACATATATACAGGATCTGATAAATATGAAAAGCATCATAAATATTTTAGAATTAATAAAAGAGTAAAATTAATTTTAAAACTCATTAATTTGAAATAATAGGGTTGTTGGCTAGTCTGACTCTGGGAAAATTCTGAATTACATAAGATTTTATAAAACAGCAACCATATTTAAGGAAATAATTTCTATTACTTTCAAACATGGAAAACATCATAAGATAAAAGGTTAATTAGCCAGTAATATCTGGGCAAATTAATTTCCAATAAGTTATAGTTCATATACTTAAAAAACTACCAGGTCATTAATGCAATAGCTTTTTTTAAATATACAAAAAAAGGTCATTGATTCCTAATGGTAGATACACAAAATAGGACCTTAATTTCCAGGTCATGTGGCTTTAACAAGCTATTCATTTTAACTGCATTCCAAAACCATAATAATTAATAAGGAAACAATTATTAAATATTTTTATTCAAGAGATGTTATTTTTTTTTTTGCAAAAAAGAACAGAAATATCTCAACAGAAATCTTTCGTATTAAAGGAATTTTATTACAGTTACTTTCCATTATTCCATATGGCCTCATGTACTCTGTTTGCTGTGTATTTATAAAATGAGAGAAAAGCAAAAGGTTAGTTGTAAACACATTTGACTCCATAAATGATTTTTTACATTTTTTTTTGGTGTCAGCTGCAATTGTGTTTGAAGTGTCCAACTATTTTAAAATCAGTTCCAGTATGGGATTAAAGAACAAAAACAAAGTAATATGTGAAATAATTTGTCTCTATTACTAATTTGAGGCTTGTCAGGTCACTAGCAAAGTTGCCCAAGCATTTGAAGAGCTTTAACCTAACAAGTAAAATTACATTGTTCTGAAATAAAGTGTCATCTGATATGACATTAACTTGCACCTTTGGGGTGTCTGGATATTGCTATTTAGGTCACTGAGAGAAGAGGAAACATACACGAAGCTGCATGAAAAAGATAATTCACCTTATGTAAGTGAATGTTTTATAGATTTTGTAGATAAAATAGATTTTTCATCTTTTCACTAAATAATAGCTACTATATCTTTGTTACATATTTTTTCAGTAGCTTGGTTCTCAACGCATGAAAAAATACATGGTATCATCTCATTCTATTTGTTTATAGTATATTTCAAAATAACCCATCAGAATGCCTCTGAGCATATGTAAAAAGGAAAAACTCAAAATCACTTATAAAAGGGGAGAAAGAGCTTAGATACTTTTTCTTTCTTGGGAATAGGGGAAGCTTAATTAATATATTTTTGAAAATTATATAACATCAAATACCATCCAATCTGGTTTTCTTAGTACCTAGTGTGCTAAGGGCATTTAGGATATTTTTGTAGTATGTATTTGTCTTCTCCCCATATTTATTGCATTCTTATAGCATTTATATTTTAACTTATAATTAG